CTCTCTGCCTACGGTTTACCGGGCAGTTCTATTTGACGATATATATATATATATATATATATATATATATATATATATATATATATATATATATATATATATTGTGTGTGTGAGTGTGTGTGAGATTATAGTTTGTTATTTATTTTTTGATAGAATACTGTCGTTGCTCTTTCTTTTTTTCTCATTTGTTAACTATTGTAAAAGGGCAGCGATCGGGCGCCCATTCCTCAAACCTCAAAAGTCATGGCAATTAACGCGTCCTGACTTTATTTCTCAAGCGGGTCGAGGTACTGAAGATTTAACGTAGTACATAATTGAGTTATCGTAAGGACACGGGTGCGCAACCCGTAGTTCTCTTGATGTGGTTTGTCATTTCCGCTATACATAACTCCAAGAATGTGTGTTTGTATGTCTTGTTATATTTGCTATACACTGAAAAAAACATGACTGTGAGCCTCGCTCCACTACTCTAAACTCACAAAAAAAATCATAAGTGTTTTTAGAGTTGTCAAACCCCTAACAGCCTCAATCCACTTACTCTTTATAGCCACACTCTAAAAACACTCCCGGATTTTTTGAGTGTTTTTTTTTCTTCCTAGTGCACTACGAGACAACGCTAGCCCATTCTAACGACTGAGACACCAGGCACACTCGTGAAAACGAAAAGCAACATCGGCGGTAGCTCCGAAGCATTGCAAGTTGTGAACTCTAGATGCTTCATGAGTGCCCTTCGAGAGTGCTTTCTTACAGCCCTCAAAGGGTGTTTTTCTGAGTTGGTGTCTATAGTAACTTGAGCGAGGCGTCACTCATGAAAAGTCTATAGTCTAGAGCAGTTGAGCGAGACCTTATGTTAGATTGCCTCGTCGGACTTTCATTGACTCATCAGGAGGTTGAACCCCGACAGTCTGCCCGTTATGCATTTGACTCACCACATCACACAAAGTTAGCAATACCCTTGAGAAAAGTGGTCAACTACAATCCTAGCAGACTGTCGGTCCAAACCCCTGACAAAAGCGGCAGTAAGCCTGAGAAAGTAGTCTGACACAATCATAAAACTCATTGTACACAACCACTCAACCATTGTGTGTATGTATGTTTGTCTGTGTGTGTGAGAGAAAAAAAAAAAAGTTATGGAGCACGCAGTGTGTGGATAACCGGGGCCACATGGGTAGACGCTAACCTATATATATATATATATATATATATATATATATATATATATATATATATATATACAGGGTTGCATCCCCGCGGACTATCGACCCCGACCATCGACCGTATTACAGCCGACTAATCGGGTCAACCGGTTGGTGGTCCACCGACCAGTCTGAAAACAACCTTCCACTTTTTTTTTTTTTTTAATCTGATTTGACGGATGTACTGCGCTTGTTGAGTATAACCCAAATCCGCTGAGAAACTTGGGTTGTCAACAATTTTTTTTCGCGGGGGGGTCCAGGAAGGGGTGGTCGGGGGTCTGCAAAGGGTGTGTAAGCTCTGTGGGGTAGGTTGCCTCAGGGGTTGTTTGAGCGTTATGAGGGGCTTGCTGGTATGGACCGTTTTGCAGCACTTTTTTACGTTTTGTAGTGGTGTTAGGGGGCAGGGTGTTTGGGCCAAGGCCCCAGGGGTGTTTGGGGGTCCCGTCGGGGGGGGGTTAGGGGGGGGGGGACACACAGGAAGTTGAGCAAGAAGATGAACCAAGTCCGCAGAGGTGCACAATTCAATTGCAGAAAAGCATTACTTCAACAGGAAGATGAACAAGATTCGAGCCCACCAGGGCCACCCTATAAATGAAGGAGACTGGAGAATAGGAAGAAGAAGACGAAGATGACGAAGAGGCGAAGAAGAAGACGACGAAGAAGAAGAACAACAAGGTAGTGGAAGAAGATAAGAAGAAGGTGAAGAGGAGAAAAAAAATACGAAGTGGAGAAGTAGTGGAATAAGTCTCTCTCTCTCTCTCTCTCTCTCTCTCTCTCTCTCTCTCTCTCTTTCTCTCTCTCTCTCTCACACACACACACACACACATACACATGAACAACACACTTTCATTCACTGCTACTACTCGTGTCAGTTGTCGACGATGACAACCCCGATCGGGACGAAGACGCAAAAGGCCAAGAGTAGCTGCTACTCGATTCATCATCCTCTTGCATACGTTTCCTCTTCTTTTGCGGTCCGCGTTTCAGCGATCAATCAGCTGCCGCGACTTTCTTTTGCACTCATCGAGCCTTCTTCCTTTTTGCCTGTCGAACAACAACATTTTTTTCTTCCAGTGTCTCGGGGGGCATAACAGTCTTGCGTCCGTTCCTTCTTTCGCCTCTCGTATTGGGTGTCGCTGCCTCGTTCCCTTGTTCTTCCCTCTCTTCTTTCTGCCTACCGAACTCTTAATTCAGTGCACCTTGCTCTCGTCAATGTCGGGCGGTGACTCCTTTGCACGCTGTGCACGCATATCATGTGGTGGGGTCGTTCCACCATCCTGGACTAGCGTGGTCCTCCGCCTGTAAACTTGGGCGTGTGTGCCCTCCCCAACGATAAGCGGAATGTCCTCGTTCAACCGAAGAGTGGGCGGGGTGGGTCCGATGAATCTGGCCCAATTAGGGGTGTTAGACTCGTCATCAATCCGCATTGGGGATATCGAAGCCAGGTGCTTACAAAAGTCTTGTGCAGATCCACGAGGGGCAATAGGGGCCACGTGCGACAACAGGAAGGCGAATCTCTCCCCTAATCGCAACCCTGGATCCGGAGTGGAGAACCCATCGCTCCTCTTCACTTCCTCTGGGTCGTACTCCCTGTCTTGCATAAAGCCATCATAGGGAGCGAAGTCCTCCGGTGTCTCTCACTCAAGTCGCTCTGTGTTAACAAACCCGATCTTCATCTTCGACATCTTCAACAACTTCTTGTTCCAATGGATGAATACAAACATTTGCAAATTCTCCGGGCTCTATAGATTTCTCCTCTTGGTGTGAATCAGGTCGAAGGTGAACCAATTCCTATCGCAGGGAGAGACAATTATCCACATGCTGAGCACTGCGACTGGAATCTTCTGCAACGACTTGTGATTCTTCCCATATGTCAACCACCATTGCGCTGGTGAAACGTGAGTGCATGTCAAAGCCTCCTCTGAGTTCGGCCGAATCCACTCCAGAGTTTTGTGATGAAAATTCTCCAAGGGCCTCCAACACTCTTTTTACTCTTTCGAGTTTTTGGTGTAAACCACAACAAAGTGTGCCAGAGTGTTTATGATCTCCACAGATTCCAAGTCGTCGAATAATCTAGGCGACCTGTGGAGTGGGTGCAACATCCATGTTGTTGCGTGCACAGAGAGAGTCATCATCCGTACACGTTCCTTCACCTTCTTCATTACGATCGCCCTTGTCTCACATTCCATGGACAAAACAACCATCCTCTTCTCCAACGTGATCCCCAAAGACCACACCTGCATCCCCATCCTCTCGTCTCTGTCCATGTCCCTCATCAACGAATAAACTGGTTGAAGCAAAGTGCATGCCCGCTTGACGGTCAACCACCAAGTAGGGTCTTGTATGAGATCCTTGCATGCTCGCGCCCTTGACGCTGTGGTCCGGTCCCACGGGGAATCATCCCAGCGCGCATGGGACACTGTTGCCAACAACACTGCTTCCACCTCCCGTAGTCTCGGCAACATGACGAAGTTTGTGCCAAATCTAGTTTCCCCTAGTTGGATAAACTCCAATGGCCTACCATCTTTGATGCCCAACTGTGCCTTATACTCCCTCCCGACCCTCCTGAACATCGCCAATGCTCTCTGATGTCTCTTGATAAACGTGGTGATCTCCCTGCCTTGCAGAATCACCTCTCCAATCCATGGCACTGAAGCGATGTCGCACATGAGCAGGTTGCACACATGGCATGCACATGGCACCCAACGAATGCTCCTGATCGTCAGGTCGTCGTGATCAACTAGTATTTTCCTTGCGGATATGTTCACCTGCCGAGTCAGTGCATATGGCATTGACCCTATGCACCCCCAACTCCCTGATAACCACCTCCTACATCCTTGCCAAGGACGGAGTTGCCTTGTCCTTCCCCTCCACGTCAACAGTCTTTACCATGACAGCCCCCGAATCCCCAGCCGCAATGAAATTTATGACCGGCCTATTGCTGGTCGTTGTCGTACCATCCGTCATCAAAGTGAGGCATGTGACATCCCACGGCTCACGGATCTTGTCCAAATCATTATCCACAGTTTTGTACTTCGTGGGCAGTGCCTTCATCCTCAAGAAGTTGTACCCTGACAGTTTCAACACTTCCCTCGATTTGGACGCCTCGTTCATGATCCTCTTCATGTTCTTATAGGAGTCTGATCTTGTGGCGTTGAATGCAATAGCGTTCTCGAAGAAGAATGAGGCGATCGCCTGGTCAAACTCTTTCTGAAGCTTATCCACGACAAAAGCGGCCATGGATGTATGCTGCCGCCCCGCACCGACCGAGGGAGGTCGTGGCGGGCGAGCGAAAGCCAAGACGGGACCCCGCTGTCGAGCGCATCGGTCCGACACCGCACCAGGGCAGCGCGGGACCCTCCCGCAGGAGTTGGACCAACCTTGCCGCGAACACACAAATGGAGCTTCCTTAAGCCGCTCCAGCCGAGTGCGCCAGCCATACCTCTCGCGAGCCCCT